TGGTGCCAGGACAGACAGGGCCGGCTAGACAAAGGAAAGACTTCAGGACATGTGGATGCCAGCTCTCAGCACCTATGGAAAATACCCAAGCCCGAGAGGCAGTTTCAACCTCAACACATATAGCAGCACATGAGAAAATAAAGTTCTGTCCACAGAATCACAGACTGTGTTGCTGGAAGGGGTTTCTCTGTCCTCCACATCCTTGCTAGTTTGCGTTCCAGAATATGAATTGGATCAGGTAACATCACCATGTCCCCAAGCATTCTCTGACACTACATCTTACTGTCTGTGGGTAACACAGCCAGGACACAGGCCTCCCTGCCTACCACTCCTATACCCACGGCAGACATCATTAAATGACCGCCACACTTTCTGCTGGGCCTGGATGCAGCCTCAGGATCTAACTTAGCACAGCCTTGCAGGCAGACATTACCAATCAACTACCACCCTCAGGATGACAATCGTTTGCCTCCCATTGAACAGAGAGAGCCAGAATGCCTCAGCCTGTCTCTCTGCTGTCTTTTTCCACCTGTGTTTCCCATCACTATTTCTATGCTCTGGCTTCCCTCAACTGCTTGCCATTTCTAAACAGACATGTCTTTTTCTCACTCCTTGAGCCTTCGTCCATGTCGTGACTCGGCCTGGAATGCCCTCTGTGCAGACTATTAGTGCTTCCCCAGGATATGCTCTCCCATAACAATAAAGCTGTGTCTGGGCACAGAGCCGCCCAGCATAAAACACTGCCCAGCCTCCCCTGCACCATAAGGTAACCATGTACTAAGTGTTGGCCAATGAGATATGAAGGGAAGTGATGCATTTTTAATTATTTCCCCAAGTCTTGCCTTTAAGGGTTTGGGCGTAAACTCCCCTGGGCCCTTCCCTTTCACAAAGGCCATTTGATGGTGAGAACAAAGCAGTGCCAGGGTCCCAGAGACAGAAGCCACATGATGAAGAAGGCAGGGCCAGTCTTCCAGCCTGGACCACCATCCCCTGGCCTGCCAGGGAAGAGTCATCCTCCTCTACCTCGTTGAAATCTCTGTATTTGGTGGGGGAGTGCGGGGAGGGTGTCCTTGGTTATGGTGGCAGCTGAGTTTGTATTCTAACTGTGTGCCCTCCCACCTGCTTCTTGTTCTTTACAACCACCTTCTAGTGCCACCTCCTCAGTGAAGTCTTCCCAGAGCCCCAGGCTCCTCTGGGATCCCCCACCCTTCGTGCACACCTCCTGTTGGCAGTCCTAAACCACAGGATGGCTGTGGCCCCTCCCACCCTCCTGGCTGAAGGCAACTTCTCTCTTCTCCATCCATCCCCTGGACCAGTGCTGGTGATGGCGTGAATGCCCAAACCTGATCATATCACCCACTTGCCCCTGCTCTTAAAGTGCAGACCTCTCAGTCTGGTGGTCAACACGTGACTCTGACCTACTCTGAGCCGTAGAGTTGAGGCCCAGCCTGTGAAGTGATCTGATGCAGAGGCTCAGCTGGTCACAGCTCCGTCTGTGTGTGTGTGACCGTGGACTGTCCCACCCACTGCCCGCCCCGCCCAGCCCCAGAGTGGCGGGTCTCAAGTAGCTGCTTCCTTGCTGACTGGAGCCTACATTGTCCTGCTCCTGGTTTGTTACTGAGAACAGGGACATTGACTGGGGAGTTTGCCTGAGCTGTGTATTCTTCTCAAGTGGCCTAGGAAGTCCCACGGCCTTTATATCTGTTCCTGAGACCCTCCTCCTGTCCCACCAGGCAATATGCTTTGCAAATGTCCCACACCTATTCCTCTGAACTTCTGGCCACTGTGACCTTTCTAACAAGGCTCGACCTCTGGCATCCCGTCCCAGGCTGCAGGCCCATCACTCCCCGGGCAAACAGTACACACAGCCCAGAAGCAGGATGCGGCCAGATCTCAGCCAGTAGATGGCTATTTTGAGACAGGGAGGATCCTGGGAGGATGCTGGCGAGGTCAGAGTAGGAAGGGAAAGAGGTGGATTTTCTGCCCACGATTGTGTGTCCCAAGCCCTCTCTGGGTGCCGCCCAGGGGCCCGAGGCTGCCACAAGGAAGAACACACCCACCACAGGGCTCCAACCTCGGTCTGGCTGGCCACAGAGGCAAACTGAGGGCAGGCACAGGTCTGGGGCTCCAAATCCTGTGGCCGGAGTGGGCAGAAGGAGTGTGTGCTTGTTTGTTGCATCCTAACAGCAAGTGATTTCAGCATCTGGCAAGACACCGAGTGGTTTCGGAGCAGAGAAGGTGTCAGAACCCAACCCGAGGTCAGATGGAGAACACCAGAGAGAATCTAAGCATCCAGGAATGATAACTGATAATGATTTATTGAATATTCATTGAGCATCTACTACATGTCGAGCACAATATTAGATAGTGGCAAAAAAAAGTGAAGAATGTTTTGCCTGTGTGTGACACTTGACAATTACGTAAGTCCTCTTCTGCAAGTATCAGGAGACTAAAAGTGGTTCATAAAGTGGTTTACAAACTGGTTCCTCTGACCCTAAGGAAATAGTCGGAGATGCATGATTCAGGTACAAAGATGAGAGCGGTATTCCACTGACTATGGGCATCACAGACATTTCAGAATGCCAGAACTCCACTGTGCCAGCTTCCAGTGTTCTGGGGAAGGTCATCTGTCAACGTCAAGTGTTCAATACTGTGCCAGGCACAGCCTGGCTGCCCAGTGAGGGGCAGGGGCAGTAATGAGTATTACTCAGCACAGGTTGGCCACATGGCCCAGGCGTGCGTGCAGAGGAGATACCTTTACTGGGGCGAGAAGCCTCAGGTGGGCCAGAGAGGACAGGTCTAGGGACCGAGTGGGACCCAGCCTGTCCTAGGAGATGCATTGTATTCTGAAGTTCTGCTGTCTGAGACACCTCTAAGCAGCCCTCACATCCTTCTCTACTGACTCTCCTAAAAGCTGGGAACACACCTTATTCTCCTTCTGATTTTGCCTCGGTTCGGGGCCTTTAAATGCCCCTGGTGTTGCCCACCTGGATCTGATCTGTACTTTGGGCCAAACTGCTCTCCAGGGACTTTTCCAACACCCCTTGCAGGTATCCCTGCTCACTCTCCTCCCATCTCCTGGCCAAATCAGTCCCTGTTGGGGACCCTTCCCACAAGGACCTGCATAAGCCCTTCCTCATCCGCAGAATCCCTGAGCCACTCATGCTGCTTCACGGCTTTCTCCTCACCAGCCAATAGGTGAAGCAGCGCTCTTCTAGATTCTTCCTCCCTCCCGTGGCATCCCTTCCTAGCTCCCAGCTTCCCAGGACCACCTGAGCTGGACTCTCCCAAGCACAGAATGGATCCCTCTTGGTTAGGTCCCCACTTTGATGGTAGGCAGGGAAAGGATACAGCCAAGCCTCTTTCTGCCTGTAAATGTGCCTCTGACACCAGGACACAGTGTCTGATAAGGATTTCAGTGATCTTTAAAATGTGAGAGGAATTGAGCAGAAAAAAATACTAGTAGTGCTAACTAGGGATCAGGAAAGTGCTAAGTACTCTCCATGGAACTCTCTGAACTGCTACATGCCTGCAAGGTGAGTATTACCCACATTTCTCAGAGAAGACCACTGGGGCAGAGAGAGGTTAATAACTCCCTTGAAGATCACACAGCTGGTAAATGTCAGAGCTGGAATCCAACCCTCTATGTTCCCTGGCTCCAAATCTCCTGCCTGTCACCAGCTTTATGTACTTCAAGCAAGAACAATTGCAACTGACCGGGAATTATGAGGACAACAGACACTGTGATGAAATCTGGGCTGCCTCAGAAATCCCGATGCACACAGTCGCTCTGCCCAGGCCCTGTCAACACAGCCTCACCTTCATCTCATCTCATTAATCTTGGCATTCTCTTCCCAAGAGCTAACCCAGATCACAGGGCTCAATCTCCGGGGCCCCAAGGGAGGGAAGGAGCTTCCCAGGGCTCCTGGACACCCTTTTAATTAACCCAGATGACCTTCTTCTGACTGAGGCCAGCTGAAGCCCGTCACGGTCTCACCAGCTCCCGTGCCACCTGAACTGTAATTCCCAGCTGTGACTCAGCCCACTCACCCGCCAACAAATGTGGTCCCTCCATTTCCCACAAGTTCAGCATCTGCTGGCCACTTCTCCCTGGCTTGGGGACCCTGAGTGCTGGCTCCTCAGCCCCTGTGTCCAGCGGAGGGCCTGCCAGAGCACCCAGGGAGTGTCCTGTTACAGCAGGCATCCAGGGGCCTGACTCTGAGCCAGCAGAGACTGCAGCAGGGTGAACCCTCTGCCCTTCCTTGAAAGTGTTATCTGCCTCACACACCCTTGTTTGGAGCTTCCTCCTTCACCCCCAAAGGGGTGCTGCCCATTCCAGCTACTCATGGGGATAATGAAACTTGCTCATCTGTCGTTCTCGTAGCTTAACAACAATGGTGAGCAGCCTGGAAAAGTCTTCATGGATCACGACTCGGAATCCACATTAGATTGGTTAGCTTGATCACGCCACATCACCCAGCAACTTCAACCTTGTTGGTGAGTGTGTGTGTGTGTGTGTGTGTGTGTGTGTGTGTGTGTGTGTAGCCTAGACACAAGATAGTGAACACACAGCCCCCTAAGCAATCTAGGTGGGACAGGCAAAGTTTTTCAATCATGGAGTAATTCATTCACTTGGGAATAAGCACTTTTGAACCGATTCTATTGGGCCCAGGCGGCACAGTGGTAAATCAGAGGAGCCAGATCCCTGTCTCAGGGGCTTCTTTCAACTCTGTGTGACATTGCACAATTTGCCATTTGCATTGTCAGATATGATCTCACAGCCTGGTGTGCACAGTATCTGGCCCACAGAAGAGTTGAGGAACAAATGAAAGTTGAATAAGTAAATGAATATGGCTGGGGAGCGGGGGCCGATCAATGGGAACATGGAAGGCGAACATCGCAGACTGTCATTCCCATCTTCCAAATGAAAAGCGACGCTCTGAACAGAGTGTGGCCTGGCCACTGAGAGGGCCTCTGGTGTGTGACCCTGTCCTTGTCACCCCTGCATAGGGCTCCTTACCTGGCGGGCAGTGGCATCCTGGGGACGTCTTTGGGGTCTCCCGGCGCCTCCGTGAGTGGAGCTTCCATTTCTGCACAAGGAGACAGAGAAGAGGGGTCACTGGGGGTCGTAAATGCCAAGCCCTAAAAAGCAACTAGGGATTGAGGGCAGGATAGGGGGCTAGTGAGGGGGATGGGGGGCGGGGTCTGACGGGGCACTGATCCTGGATCAAACCCTGGCCACCGGGCGTCTGGGTAATAAGAAGCAGATGGAGGAGTCCCATCTCAGTCACCTCGGGGTCTGATGTCTTTGGAGAGCTCTGAAGAAAATTAACTTGAGCACAAGACCCTATAAAGCAGTTTGGCCTTCCTGCACCCGACACTCATGAGCACAACGACCTGCTCTTCTCGGCTCTCTGCTAATTGTTTCCTGTCTAGTTCTGAGTGGCTATGCATCCCGGGGGCAGGGACAGTGACCTCTGTTTTTCTGGTGTCACTCACAGAGCCAGACACAGGCAGGACCACTGTCCCTCCATCAGACCCCTCCCTCACCAGCTTCCCTACCCTTCAGCTAATCTTGAAGGCACCAAAGATGCGGCAACAAGCAGACTGAGATGCTTGCCCAAGGAGCTGCCATTTCCGTGGAGATGAATGGATGACACATGCACAGCTGCCAGTCCAGACACCTGGAAAGGGCAGGTGCTGAGCACCCCCATCCTCGCCACCACCAACGGAGGGAGTTGGAGGGGAAGCCAGAGGTTAACAGGTATGCTCTGGGGCCAGACTGCTGGGCTCCTGGGTTTTCTCAGACCCTGAGCTGTTAACAGTTCCAACCTCTTAGGTTACTGACAGATCAAAGAGGTTGGTGCATAGAAAGAAAGGTGCCTGATCCCCAAGAGGCATCAATAAGTGTTAGATGTGATTACACTTTCATGGCAAATAGAGGGGAAGAAGTGGAGGCAGTGACAGATTTTATTTTCTTGGGCTCCAGAATCGCTGTGGATGGTGACTGCAGCCATGAAATTAAAAGACACTTGCTCCTTGGAAGCAATGCTATGACAAACCTAGACAGCATATTAAAAAGCAGAGAAATCATTTTGCTGACAAAGGTCTGTATAGTCAAAGCTATGGTTTTTCCAGTAGTTATGTGAGAGTTGGACCTTAAAGAAGGCTGTGTGCTGAAAAATTGATGCTTTTGAACTGTGGTGTTAGAGAAGACTCTTCAGAGTCCCTTGGACAGCAAGGAGATCAAACCAGTCAATCCTAAAGAAAACCAATTCTGAATATTCATTGGAAGGACTGATGCTGAAGCTGGAGCTCCAATACTTTGGCCACCTGATGTGAAGTGCCAACTCACTAGAAAAGACCCTGATGCTGGGAAAGACTGAAGGCAAAAGGAGAAGGGGGTGGCAGAGGATGAGATGTTTAGATATCATCACCAACTCAATGGACATGAATTTGAGCAAACTCAGGGTAATAGTACAGGACAGAGGAGACTGGAGGGCTACAATCCACAGGGTCGCAAAGAGTCAGACACGACTTAGCAACTGAACAGAAACAATAATTATATTCATTTTATAGGTAAGGGACCTGGGCTCAGAGAGGAAGCTAACCTGGTCAAAACCATGGTGGAGGAAGGCTGAGATCTGGACTCCTTTCTCTGAAGCTAGGACTGCAGTTAGAAGCCAGTAGCCCCAGAGTCAAGTTGGCCCTTAGATGTATTTTACTTGGCTCCAAAGTGATTTTTTTTCCCAATGAATTTGTCACCAATCTTTTGAAGGGGCTAACACAGAAAGTCTGTGTTTCTAACTTCTTTTCAACATACTGGAAGATCTAGCCACACGGGGCCTGTATCGCACGGCTGGCTATGACTGACTGCCCTATGCATTGTGGTCCCCACTCCAACGTGCTGACCAGCTACGATGCCAGCTGGCTCCGCACAAGCATTTCCCCAGCACTTGCCTCCTCACTGTTGTGTAGTCCTGCCACTCAGGGTGAGGGCAAAGGAAGCCACCTGCAAGGTGTCGTAGGATTTGGTGTCACCTCTAGTTTGCCAGTAGCGACAGAAGGGCAGGAAATCTTCCCAAGGATTCCCATCAAACTAATGTTGGCTGAGCCCCCACTGTGTACTGGCGCTGAGCTGGGTGCTTTCACACAGGGAATCACATCTAGTTTTCATAATCAAACTCTGCATGCATGCTAAGTTGCTTCAGTCGTGTCAGACTTTGCAACACTATGGAATGTAGCCTGCCAGGCACCTCCGTCCATGGGATTCTCCAGGCAAGAACACTGGAGTGGGTTGCCATGCCCTTTTCCAGGGGATCTTCCTGACCCAGGGAATGAAACCCAGGTCTCCTGCATTGCAGGTGAATTCTTTACCTTCTGAGCCACCAGGGAAGCCAATTAGTGACCCATTTCTTAGTGAAGGAAAGTAGGTTCAGAGAGACTGAGTGACTTGAACTTGGAGCGGTATGTGGTGGATATGGGATGAGAACTCAGGCCTTTTGATGCAAAGTCTACTCCATGCTGATGTATACAAATTCCCCTGGCAGAGGGAGCTCAGCCACCATGTGTGTGTGTGTGTGTGTGTGTGTGTGTGTGTGTGCGCCCGCGTGCACGCGTGTGCTGGGGTAGGGACAGATATGCCGTGTTGAAGGGGAGGGCAGAAGAGGACAGGAGGTCAAAGCACATAGAAGGAGGAAGGGAGGAACAGCCCTAAGGGAAGCCCCTCACGCAGGAAGGGAGGCTGGCACACAAATACTGGGTAGACGAACACTGAGGTGGGCACAGGGTGGCCACTGGGCAAATCGAGGACATCCCAGAATGAGGTCTGGCAGAAGGCCCTCTGATGCACAACTCTGAACCCAGCTCACTAGTGCCACTTTCCAGGAAGGGACTGTGCATACCCACTTCCACATCCCTTCCCACCAACAACCTGTAGGCTCTCCAAGGGGCTTATCTGTGGCTGTGAGTGGCAACAGTGGGTGTGTGACCCAAGTCTGTTAAATGAAGGAGCTGGTCAATGGCTAAGAAGCCATTGACCGAGTGGGCAGCATTCTGGCTATAGGTTGCAACCATTAGGGCTGTCACTCACTCAATAACTGAAGATGCTAAGCACAGGTTGGACCCTGGATATGGAGCATGCAGCCCAAGGTGGACAGGAGCCCTGCTCTCCTGGGTTCACCTTCCAGTGAAGGAGACAATGAACAGAGAAACAGATGAATATATAACCCAGGCGGTGATAAGTGCTATAGAGAAAAGTAAACCAGGGTAAGGAGACAGAGAGTGACAGAAGGTGGTGTAAACTCAGGGGTCAGAGAAGTTCTCTGTGTGCAGGGCATGTTTGAGCAGAGAGAACTGACTGAAGTAAGGAAATGAGTCATGGAGAGATCTGGAGGAAGTGTGTTCCAGGCAGAAGGAACAGCAGAAGCCAAGGCTCAGAGACAGGGCTGCATGTGGAGTTTTCAAGGAAGAGGAGAAGGGACAGTGTGGCAGGAGTGATTCGGGCAAGGAAGGAAGGATAAGGACGTGGTGGGAAAGGCAGGTCATTGGGGTGCTGGCAAAGGCATTGAAATTTAGAAGGACACAGATTTGTGACATTTCCACAGCTTCTTGACAGCCATAACACTCCAGAGCTAGTACAGACGCTGTGGTGAGCCATCCGGCTCTTGGGGTCAGGCTCATCCTTAGCTGTGGGGTATGGTGGCTGCTGACAGCTCAGCCCCTCACTAGGAACTGCTCTCAGCTGAAGGAGCTGCCTTGACCAGGGTCATATCCATGCCCCGCAGCAAGGCAGGCCACAAACAGCCCCATTTAATAATAAAGGAAACTGAGACTCAGAGAGAAAAGGGGAATTGCTTTGAACAGGTAAGCCACAGAGGAATTAAATTCCAGGTCCTCTGCCTTCAAGTTCAATGTTGTAGTGTTGTGGCTGTTTAGTCACAAAGTCATGTTGGACTCTTTGTGACCCCATGGACTGTAGCCCACCAGCCTCCTTGGTCTATGGGATTCCCAGGCAAGAATACTGGAGTGGGTTGCTATTTGCTTCTCCAGGGGGTCTTCCTGACCCAGGGATCAAATCTGTGTCTCTTACATCTACCTGCATTGGCAGGAGGATTCTTTACTGCTGAGCTAACCAGGGAAGCCAGGGTCAATACTTTGGTTCAGTTCATCCTGTATATATGGCTACTGCTCCTTAGTCGCTTCAGTCATGTCTGACTCTGTGTGACCCTATGGACTGCAGCCCGCCAGGCTCCTCTGTCCATGGGATTCTCCAGGCGAGAGTACTGGAGTGTGCTGCCAAGCCCTCCTTCAGGGGATCTTCCCAAACCAGGGATCGAACCTGGGTCTCCTTCATTGCAGGCAGACTCTTTACCACTGAACCACCAGGGAAGCCCAGGCTCAATACTTTGGTTCAATTCACCCCGTATATACGGAGCTCCTCCTAATTGTGAGACTACAAAACTGAGAACAAGACAGCCCCCATCAACAAAGGAGTTTGAACTTTATATGGGAGACATGTGTTGAGGAGCGTCCAGCTGGTTGCAGACTTTGAGAGCTGAGTGGGTGATGGGGGTTCTGTGCCCAGGTAAGGGTTCGGCCGAAAGCAGCCAACTAAGGGTCTGAAGCAGAGGAAGCACGTGGTCGAATCTGGCTGGCCCGAGGGCCCTCCAGCAGCATGTTGAGAAAGACCAGGACAGTGAGAAGGTTGGAGGCTGAGGTTCCTCTCTGGAGGCTGTTAGTCACACATGCAACAGAGAGACACTAGGGGTCCCGTTTACGGCCTGGCAGCTTGATAGAGAGTGGCGGATGAAAGGAAGGGGGTACACAGGGGAAAGAACGGACAGGGCACAGGATGAACTTGGTGTGGGGTAGGGTCTGGGCTCAGCAATCGTTTTCTGTGAAGGGCCAGTTAGTAAATATCTGAGGCTGTGTAAGCCATACGACCTCTGTCACAACCACTCAGCTCTACTGTGTAGGTGCGCATGGCCATGTTCCCATAAAAGCGGATTTACTAAAGCAGCCTTCCAGTGGGATCCAGGGCTTGTTTGCTCACCCCTGATACAATCTTTATGCAAGCATGCTGTTCTTC